TGTGTCGCAGAACGAGATGTGTACGAACACCCAAGATATGCGACGCCCGTTTGGGAGGCCGCGTGCAGCAGAGGGAATCCATCTTGCAACGTGGATTACTTGACTTCCAGGTTCAAAGAGCTGCATGTAAAAGCTCCCACCCCATAACAAAAAAAGTCTCATTGGAGTGTATTCGTCCAACGGGTCAGAAAAAAGGGTGCAACCTCACACTATAAATCCTCTAAGCGAATTGGCAGACGAATCCATACCCTCTGATTCAGGGAGGGCATCTCCTGGCTATACAGATACATCTGGCTGGCAAGCCCTCTTCATGCCTGCAGAAGGCGGCCAGCCAAAAAAAGCCCGGTGCCCTCTCCCTAAGGCTAATGCTGCTCTTTGGCGCTTTCTATGAACTCCTGCCTGACTCTCAAATAACTCAAGGCTGGATTAAAAGCCCGGGGTGACTTCTTTGTATCTTATTACCAATTCTCCCCATTGAAAGAACAACAGCCCGCGTCCTTACAGCTGATGTTCAACTGCTCCTTGTCGCCACTCGAAAGATGCTGGCCCACCCTTGCCTCAGAGGTTCAATCGCCAGCAGGAATAACGGCACAGACACCTTGATATGCACGATGCCACCTGTAGTAGCCTGATAAACTCTTTTTATTCTCCCCTCTGTCCCCTCAAAGGAACCTGGGGGTTTCACGTGGGGGGCTCTGCAATTATTTCTGAGAAGGGCAATCCTGCTCTCCGGCACAGAGTTCTAAATCCCTTGCAAAACCAGACTAGTTAAAGTGGAATCGTCTACCACTGTGAAACGCAGATATATTTGCAGTCTACCACTGCCTCCTCCTCCCCCCCGGCCTTTCAATGTGGCACCATATGTAATTTATGATTAATGGATGCCATTCCTTTTCATACAGTATCCTAATAGCCACATAAGTCAACTTTTATGCAACTTCTCCTGGGTCTTGATAATAACCTGGTTGATCCGCATCACTCCTAAAAGGAAACCTCTCTCTCTTTTTAACCCAATTCACAGGACACCGACCACTGAGCACTATGAGAATATGTGGAGGGATGAGTGATTTGCGCCTTGCAGGTTATCACTACAATTCTCATCCTCTTTGACCGCTGATCGCACTGGCTGGGGCTCACTGGAGCTGGGAGTCCAATGTTTGGGGGGGGGCACAGGTTGCCAACCCCTGAGGCCGATCCTGGAGAAGTCAGGGAAAAAAAATACGTGGGAATACAGATTTTCCCCCTCCCTTTAGAATTGGCAATTAACATTTTAAGTACAGTATTAGCCCTTCCTCCCACACCACTGCTTGAAATAGGCTTTTGACAGCTAAACCAATGGAAAAAGCAACAATTAATTTTGACTGGCCCCTATGATCTGTTGAGGTCTGTAACTGTAAAAGTTTATGTAAACAATGAGATAAATATATTAATTTTTTTTCTGAACCAAGTGAGGTTTCATACTCATTCAAATGTGCTTTGGTTTAAAAAATAGTTTTTGTGAATTTGGGTATGAGCTATCTTTTATTTTTTTTAATACAACGTTTTCTACTTATTCTTTATTACCCTCTCCTGTTACTCCAAAAACATTCAGGATCTAAACTGACTAAAACATACAGTTAAGCTGCCTGGCCTCTGTAATTGTACATTTAAGGGAAAAAAAAGTTTTTCCCCCCCTCAGGAGGCTCTTTCTGTATCTCAAAACAAAAACAAACAACCAACCGAAACAAAATGAAATGCCACCCCCTCCCCGCCCCCACCCGACCTCTTAAAATCTTAAATATGAAACTAGTGTTTTGCTTTCTCATTAAAATACAGAAAATGCTGGATACAATACTATGTCGTACAAATGTAGTTTTGAGTGTCCAGACCCTCTAAATGAGCACTGAACAGTCCCTGAAGCTTTGAATATTATTAGATTTCTCATTATTATTGTCAAAATTTGAAAAAAAGTCATTAATTCAGCATATGGAACACACTCTACACAGCTACATTTGTGAAAACAACAGGGGGGGGGAGACACTTTTTTCCCTCATGTTTGTACAATACTTGCGCTGTACACAGACTTTTTGTCGTATTGTTTTAAGTGCTGAGGGGGACAATTAAAAATAAAAAGGAGTCTCTTTTGATGAAGGTTTTTTTAAAAAAACAAACAAACAAAAAAAAAAAACCCGAGTCCTGAAACACAAAAGGAGTCTCTTTTGATGAAGGTTTTTTAAAAAAAAAAATACAAAAAAAACAAAACCCCGAGTCCTGAAACATCAAGATTCCAAAACTTCAAACCATAAACAAAACGATAATTCCAAACCAACTCTTAAAACCCCCACCCACTCCGCACCACACACAAAAACTATTGAGAGTTTAACAAAATTCTAAGGGGTCGAGGTATAGTATTGTATTAGCTACACCCTTGGGCTGCTCTTTGGATGATTAAAGATGGAGGCTGATCAAGCGGCAACTCGCCAGGACGGCATTACGCAAGAACGCAAAATCACCAGTTGCATCTGCTTTCCACAGCAAAAAATCTCACCCCGTAAGATTTTCCACCTGGACGTTAAGTGGAGAGATGCTACCAATGACCGCATTGTGCATACATGTGATTGTATACCCTTTCCCAGCGAAGTTGCCACTTGGAATCCACCAACTGTCTTGGCTCAGCTGTAGGCTAGTCACCAACGCTTCAGCTTGGTCTCGTTAATGCGGATTCTGGTCGACACCAGTTTGGAAAGCGGTGGGAACGTTTGTTTCTGTTGAGTTGCCTTCATGGGTTTACACAGCATGGAATGAACGCGGTCGGTTGCTTTCCCGTTCTAATGGCAGTGGAAAGCAATGGCTTAGGAGAGGGGGTGGAAGAGTTAGGGGGTTCTGCTTTTGGGGCAGGGAGTGGCGAGGTAGGAATACAAGCAGAATAAATCTTGACTCTCAACTTCAACGACCAGGTTAGTGGCTCAGGATGAGCTCTGAAGGCATATCAAGAGTCAGGGAAGGTCTGGAGATCTTTGAGGAGTGGGCTGGGCTGGTTCAAACCAAGCTCCAGCGATGTCCATTGCTGAGATACTAACATCTTACAGCTGTGCCCTGGCACTCTTGGCAAAAGCTGGACATCAAGGAGTTTTCCATTCCCTACCTTGTAATTCACAGAGGCTGGGACGGGACGTGTCTTATTTTGGCAAAGAGTGTACCAACTGACTGGGGGTTTTCCTATGGTGACTTCTAGCAGTGGTCCACGGGTGGTCACACTGTGTGGTACTTGGGCAATCACCCCAAAGGAACAACTGTAACAAGAATACTTGGAGAATTATGTATGGGCATAACTGTAATTTCTTGTGTATAAGGGTACAGAGTCCATTTCCACCTTCATTCACTGGGGAAGGAGACTGCTTGAAGTACTCTTCAGAGTTGGGCTGTCCTTTCAATTGGAAAAATGGGGGGGGAGCCTTGAGAATATCACAAAAGCTGCGCATGGAGCTGTAGATAAAAGTGTGTGTTTTTGCCCTTATCGCTTCCCACAAATGCAGGCAATGAAACTGGTATCCTTAAAAAGTGTAGGTAATATGGAGATTCCGCTTCCAGATTAGTGGTCTGGTAGCTACACCCACAAATTCTAGGTGAAGAAGCTGTTGCACTAGAACAGGGGTTTTATGGAGTTAAAAAGCAGCCCCTGTGGTAAGTGAGGTAAAGTTACACCGAACAGGGAGGGACTTCCCTGTAATGTAACTGGGTTTAATGTGATTAAGTTAAGTGTGCATTTGCGTGAAGTTGTGGTCTTGAGGTTTCCTTAACTATTCATTCATAGTGACCCCCCAAAATCTTTTTTACAGATAGGTTCTTTCCTAACAAGGGGGGAAAAAGTTTATGATGGCAGAGGGCAAATGAAAGCTTTATCTGTGTTTTATGTGAACACACTCATTTTTATTTCTTCTCTCTCTTATTTTTGGTCTAAACTTAAAGACAAAAAAAAAGTTTTTTGTTTTTTGCTTTTTCTTTTTTTAAGAAAAAAAGAGACATAGGGCTTTGGTGAAACCCTACCAATAATAATAATAATAATAATATTAATCGTCATAATAATAATAATAATAATAAAAAGAACAATGGTTTGAGCAAGAAAGTTAAGGAGGAAACAAAACAAAATTGTAAACCTTACTCAATTTAGATAGGGTCGTTCTAAAGGGACTGCAAAATTTTTACCACCCCACTCCACCAATGGGGAGTAAGTAGCAGGCAGTGGGCGGCGGCGGGGGGGGGGGGGGAAGCCATCACTTTTCAGAAAAGGTCACGCCAACGGAGTCGAGGGGCCATAAAATAGCAGGCGATACCCTGTCCTCTCCTCCTAAACCTATAGCAGCTGTTGGCTATGATGTCTTCTACAGATGTTGTAAGAATTTCCTTTCTCGCTCTTCCGCTTCCCCAACTTTTGTGTGCATGCGTTGAGATTTCCTTAATAACGGCGACAAGAAGAACAATTATATTAAGAAGAAGAAGAAGAAAAGTACGCCCACCCCGCCCATCCCCGAAAGGGAGGATATGAAACACTTTGGTGGCACTTCCCTCACATTCTTATTGCACTCTGGATCCTATTTGTGACTCTCGCCTGCCACATCGTTCCTCTCTTATCCAGTCTGATGGTTGTGCGCAAACCCCATAAGGGTTGGGGAAAGCAACAGATCAAGAGATTCCCCCCCCCCCCCCCAATCGCATCCAGGTTNNNNGTTCAATAAACGAGGCTAGGAAGGGCCCAAAAGCTTTTTTTAAAAAAGTTTCCTCGTGGATAGAAAAATCCGTAATTTGGTGAACACCGACGGCCGCTACAGCGCTATTCACACGGGCCATAGGCTTATAATCTACCTATCGTCTTTGGCCAAGTTTTGCTACTATCATTATTTTTGCTGACTTCTTGATGGAAGGACGGGGTGGTAAAAAAAATCCCTTAACTTTTAATTTAGTTTCTACTTTGTACACTTTACTTACAACCGGGGGGGGGGGG